ATTCAATTCATTTCATTTCATTTCATTTCTTTTAGTTTATCATTTAGTTTTTCAATTGGAATTTCTATTATATATTCCATATACGAAAAGAGACAAAAAAAAAGTTGAAAATGTTTTCGGTGGATCGTTCGCATTAGTTATTTTATTTTATTTTATTATTATTCAACTTTTCGTTTTTGTCTTCATGTTATTTTTCTCATTATCATTCGTCTTAACTTTTTTTTTGGTTCTATTCTTTGTGAAAAATTTTAGCGATTCTTAACACTTCTTATAATACCGATTTTTATGTTTGTGTTTGTGTGTATGCCATGCTATATCATTGTCATTTGCATTTTTGTTTTGGTTCCATTCTAACATTCACACACATGCATTGGTTGGCTTGTTTTGGTTGACAACAAACAAACAAACAAACAAACAGACAAACACTATGGTATGAGATGAGATCTACGAAAGATAAACGAAAATGATTCCATGTTTCATGGCAGAATCATACACAACAACATCAGATACTAGCTCATCATTCTGGTTTTTTCTTGTTGTTTTTGTTTTTGTGTATCCATCTATATTATATACCAGCTCGTTTTTGTGTGAACATCTTTCTTTGCTCTTTTTTTTTCTTCAATATTTTGGATTACTCATTTTTTTCGGATTGAAAGATGTCACTATTGATGATGGTCTCTCATTGTTGTCATTGTATTCAATAAAATAATCTATTCGAGATGTTTGAAGCGAATAAGAGCAATTTGGAAAACAAGAGAGATAGAGAAAGAGAGAGAAAATGAATTCATTTTGTGTTTTATATGTCGAGGCCAATGATAAAAAGATGATGGGTCCTAGATTCTACACACACACACACACACACACGCATTCAGTTGTGTTGTTGTTTTTTTTTTTTTTTTTGTTATGCCGTTACACATATAATCTAATTAATTTATTCATTTAGACACTTTTTTTCGGTCCTTTCATTCATTCTTCATGGGTTTTCCTTTCTTTTTATATATATTCTCGACGTTTATTCTTATCCATTCTTTGATGATGATGATGATGATGATCGTCATCGTTTTAATTTAACGCATTATTTGCTGTTTGTATACATTGATTATATGATGACGATGATGATGATGATGATGATGATGATGATAGTTCACATTAAAGATGATTTTGTATTCTATCCAAAACCATTCAATATTCCGATTTTTTTCTCTCTCTCTCGCTCTTTCAATTTTTTCGATTTTGGCTCAGCTGTATGTTTGGAATGTTTCGAGACGTGCATATCATCATTAGCATCAGGCTTCTGAAATGAAAATGAAAAAAATGATTACCCGTTAAAGTTATTGAATGTGTGTGTGTGTGTGGTTGAGATATGCAAGATGGATAGATAGACAGATAGTTTGTGTTATATCAAAAAAAATTGTAAATTTGTCAAAAAAAAAACGATTCCTGCTGCTTTGTATGTGTAGATTCCCGCTGATATTTCAATGTTGTTGCAACAACAATAATAACTGGTTTATTTATATGTGTTGTGTTGTACAAACTTGATAATTGATCATGATGATGATGACAAACATCATGATCAATTCTTCAAGCACATCTGATAATTGCTTGCCGTCTATTTACCACCAAATGGAAAAAGGTCAAAAAAAAAATTTTCAAAATAAAAGGTTAATTTGAAATTAGCTCGATAATGATCATTTTTGCTCATCTATTTAGAGATCAATTTGGTCAATTGCTTTTTTTTTTTGTTTACTATCTATGTGTTCCTACTACTTGGTTTTTTTTTCTCGTTGCTAATTGAAATACCTTGTTCTTCTTGGTTCTTCTTTTTTTCCATATCATCATAAATGTCAATTAATATTTCACACATAGTAGTATTTTATAGTTATAGTGTGGTTGGTTGGTTGGTTGGTTGGTTGGTTGGTAGGTATCAAGTTAGTCAGTATGTTGAGATCAAAAGTGAAAACACATTAATGAGGCTCGTTTTCGTTTTCATTATTTATAACATGTGTGTGTGTGTGTCTGCGTTCTGCGTTATAGTTGATGATTGTTCGCTGTTTGAAAGAATCATAGTTTCATGAGATTCAAGTTTGGATAGATTGGTTTTTTGTTTGGTTGAGTTGTGTTAGCTTTTATAGTTCCGGTTGATAACTTTTTTTTCTACTGATGATGATGGTGGTAGTTCCTATTACCGGATTTTGTTGTTGTTTTTTCTCTTGAAATTGAAAAAAAAATTCCTTTTCATTTTCAGACTCAGATCATCATCAGTATTATTTTTTTTTCAGTGAAATAACATGAATTTGAAAAAAAGTGAGCGAAAAAAAATTACCATTTGAGAAAATGGTGACGTTGAAACTAATTTGAATTTTTTTTTTTTTGCTGGCACTTTTTTTTCGTTCAATTCATGGAAATTTTCTGCTGGAACTGATATTACTACGCGTAGCCAGAAAAAAAAAATTTCGTTTCTCGTCATCAAATGTCAAGTTTTCGTTTCTCATCGTTTTTTTTTTTGGCAATTTTTTTCCACTTTTTATAATAACCTATATAAATGTCAAATGCTGGATTTTTCACTTATAGGTTTATCAATCATCATCATCATCATCGTTCTATATTGGAAATTGCCTTTTTGCACAAAGAGATTTAACCGTTATTTGATAACATTGCAAAATGACGAAAGAAAGAAAGAAAGAAAACGAGATTAGAAATCAGATTTTTTTTCTCTTATTCTTTCTATTTTGACTATTACGATGCTGTGGATGATGATCCAGAAAGCGTAAAAATAGACTTTTTTTTGAAAAATAATTTTTTTTCTCAGTATTCTGGTACACATATTCAACTACACACACAGTAAAAGAATTTTATTAGTTTCAAAATTCTTGTTTCTTGTGCATCATGCAAATCTTTTGGGGTTCAAGAATCCGTGTATATGTGTATCTATGTGTGTTTGGGCTGGTTTGGTTTTCTAATATTCTCTTTTGTGGGTAGAAAAAGTGAAAAAAAACTTAATATCACCATCAAAATCCAATAATCTTGCAAGAAAAAAATTTTTTTTATTTTTCACTTTCAAAATTCTTTTGCTGATGATTTTCGGCGTTTTTTTCAATTTTTATCAACTAAAGCAATGAAAATTGAAATTTAAGTGTACGCACACTACATGATGATTTTTTTTTTTTCTGCCCTGTAGCTTGTCTGTTGCCAAATTGTAATTATTTTTTTCAAGAGATAAAAAAAAATCTTATTCTGTCGAGCAACCCATTTTTTTCGTTCAAACTATGGAATCATGATAATTTTTTTTTTGGAACGGAAGGGAATTTTTTTCGTTAAGAAGAATAAAAGAAAAAAAACGAACCTTTTCCGTAAAAAAAAGAAACAGAAAGAGAGCTAGAGAATAAATCAATGCCTGTGTTTGTGTATGTGTGTGTGTGTGTGTGTGTGTGTGCATAAAATATAAACCATTAATGACTTGACTTTTTTTCTGGTTGGCCTTTTTTTTCTTTCTTACATTAACCGATGTGTACAAAGCAACAACAACAAGGTGTATAATCGTAATTGATGATGATGATGACGGTTGGCTGGTGTTTATTTGTGTGTGTGTGTGTGTGTGTGCGTGTTTTCAAGATTTTCCATTTTTTTTTCTCCTCTCTTGACATTCACTATATATCAATTTAATATCTTTTCAACACATTTAATATACACTAGACACACACACACACTTGAGATTGTTCCATGTATATTGCTTCTTGTTCTTAATTCTTAATTTCAATTCATTCAATAATAAGGTGTTTGCCCCCCCACCACCATATTACATTGTATCGTTTTTTTTAGTCATTTTTTAAGATTAGACATTTAATATTAAAAATATAGTGAATCATTTGATCTGTTTTATATTGGCCATCATCATCTGTTTCTCTTTTTTTTTTTTTGTCCAATCAATGGTGATATATATGATGATGATCATAAGTTTCTATCTGTCGGTAGTGGCCTAAAAATTTACCATTAAGTTTTGTGCTACCATTGTTTTGTTGCTGTTTAACCTGTAAAACTGTGTCTCTGTGTGTGTGCTCGGTTGTTTAAAAAAATTTTTTTATAATCAGTTTATGGTTTTTTTTCAATATATGGCCATTCAATGATGTTGTGGAAAAAAATGGTCGATATCGATTTTTTTCTTCCAGTCGGTTCACTAGAATTTATTATTATTTTACTGCGAAATTATTCTTTAAATGTTTATTATTATAATGGCTTTTCAAAAGAAAAGAGAGAAAAAAAATCTCGTTTTATAATATTGACCAAATATACAAACAAAATAGTCAGATTTTTCCTGTCTATAACGAAAACACACACACACACACATCATCATCATATATAATATGTATATATGTAGTCCGACAAACAAACATGACAAAAGAGCAAGCAAACAATAAATCGGACAAATCCTATCGATACACATCTGTAGCGACAGAATTTTTTTTTTTTTTTTTACAGAAAAAAAAAAATGGCCATTTTCGTTTTGGTTTCAGATAAATTTCCATCATTAATCTCTCATTGAATCGGTTGCTGTTGTTGTTTCCTATTGAAACTCCAAAACAACACTTAAACATTTTGATCACACAGGAAAAAAATCTTTTTTTTTTTTTTTTTTTTTGATCGTAGTAAGAAAATAGATCCACCAGTCACTTTACGGAAGAAATGAAAAAAAAGTATTCCATGCAATGTTAACACAGTGGTTGTGTTTATTTTTTTTTTTTTTTTGTTTGCATTTGTCACTAAGTTATGCCATTTTTTTCCAACTTGGAATACAGAATTCTAAAAACATTTGTCTCTGTCAATTGTGTTTGCAATTCACAGTTAGTCCAAGCTTTTATTTTTTTTTTGTTGACGTTTTTTTTTTGGAACTTTTATTTTCATTTCACTTTTTTTTGTTGCTATGAATGTGGTGCCAAATGTTAAATTCTGTTTTGTTTTCTTTTTATCATTTATGATGATGATTATGATGATGATGATGATAGAACTGGATTCCATCGAGTCGATTCTTTTAATCATCAAATCTGGCCATCATTGGATGATGATAGTGAATATAGGCCATCAACGGAAACATTGGATGGATTGTTATTTACATTAACATCAACGATGGAATCAATTTTTGGTAATGGAAATTTATTCATTTGAACATTTAAAATTAATTTAATTTTTTTCATTCTATTTTCAAATCGATTTATTGATTGATTGATCTACTGATAGCTGGATGTAAAAAAGGATTCTTTTCCATTGCAATACAGATGAAACCATTGTTTTGGATTGCATTCATTTTACGGATTAAATGTCTAACTTCATTTTTTGAAGGACAATTATGTCGAACAATGTTCATGTCTACTAATGATGATGTTGATGATGAAGTGGAAAATGATTCGGATCGATCCAACATTAACTTGGTGTGTATATCACTTGAACATTTTCTTTTTTTTGTCGATTAATAAATTTCTCTTAGATTTATTTCGCTGGACGAATACTGAAACCAAGTCGATCAACATTATTACGATGTTCATTTGTCATTGCATTCACAATGATTTTAATGCAACATTTTACTAATAATCCATGGTATATAATGGCACATTATCAATGGATTATACGTTTATTACAAACATATTCAACACCAATATTCTATATGTTTGCTGCCAGAGCATTTCATCAATCAGAAAATTTTTGATTACATGATTTTTATAAACATGATTGTAATAATAATAATAAATAATACTTATGTATTGTAATCGTTGTGTGTGTGTGTGTGTCATTTGATTTGATTTCGACGAATTTGTTTCATTTAGTTGAAAAATAAAAAAATGTCCAATAGATTGATGTTCATCAACAGAATCACCACTAGATACAAAAGAGGATAATAATGGAAAAAAAAGACAAAACATTACTAGTGAATAAAAATAAACAGAAATAATGTGACAGATTTTTTTTCAGTGTGTCTGTGTGTGTGTGTGTGTGTGTGCACCAAACCAAATAATAACAATGGTTACTGATGATGATCATTGCATGTGAAATTACGTCAAAACAACATTTGTGAACAAAAGAAGAGAATTTGACGACGACGACGACGAAACAAAAAAATCGGAATCCACTATTTTTTTCTCTTTTCCATTTATTCCAATTACCATTGGTTGTTTGGTGTCTGTCTATGTATGTGTGTGTGTTTGTGTGTGTGTGTGTTTCATCTCAAAAATCAATCTTTAATCTTCAAGTATAAACGCTAATGGAATTAATTAAACATTACCATCAGAAAAAAATAAAACACTGACAATCGTCATTCTGTTTGTGTGTGTGTGTGCCCATGACAAAATGTATCGATTTCTGGCTCTACAATTTTCAATTTAAAAATTTTTTTTTTTCAATTTTTCCTCTTGATGGCGCCTCTTGTATAGTGAATGTGTTATTTCTGTATTATTCAATTCATGAACGAATGAAATGAATTTTTTTTTGCGTCCATTATGGTCCAAAGAACCTATGAAAATAATAATAATAATAATAATAATGCTGGCAGATTTTTTTTTCTGTTCATATATTCAAAAATCTAGATTAATCATAAATCATATCATATGGATGTGGATGGTGGATCGGGCGAATAGCAATTTACCCGAAAAATTTTTTTTTTTTATTATTTTCATTTGGTCGATTCTATGTTTTTTTCCTTTGATTTTTTTTTATTCTTTTCATTTTTTTTCAATTGGGCCCCTTTCACACACACACACACACAATTCTGTGTGCGTATATTATACTTTGTAATTATATCGATGCTTCTCCCGATTCTTTGGTTTAGTGTTTGGATGCTCTATAGATGTTGCTGCTTGCCCGTTTCTTCTTTTTTTTTTTCTTTCTGGTTGTGTGAACACTTGGTGGATATTTCATGGGAAAAGAGAAAATAGATCGATCGATTGGCTCAAAATAAAAAAAAGCTTGTTTGGGTGGTTATAGTCGTCTTTTTTGTCGATTTCAACAAGAAAATTCTCTATTCTAATCGATTTTTTTTCTCTCTCTCTCTCTCTCTTTATATTCAATCAATCTTATTTGCTTCAATGAGCTATTCTTAATTCTTTTTTTTCTGTTTTGTTTTTTTATATTTTTATTTTTCTCCCTCTCTCTCTCTCTCTCTCTCTTTCTTGCTTTCTTTGAGTCTTCCGTATATTGTTTATAAAGAATTCATATGACTATTATTGCTATTTGCTTCTGGAAAAAATTCAATGGCAATGTGACCATAACAGTTTGTGTGCGTGTGTGTGTGTGTGTGTGTGTTTTAACAGCGCGATGACTTTCTATTTATTTTTACTTTCAAAAAAATATGAAAAAAATGATGGAACGATCGAACCAAAACCAACAGTAAACGATCAATAATTTTTTTATTCATTCATTCCTAAAAACCATTCTTGATTCTTGTCCAAAGTTTAGATTTTTTTTTTTTTTTGTTTCTACAGAAATTGTCCACCAGAAAAAAAAATTGAGAGAGACTGGAATATATTGGACTAGAAGCATGAGAGAGAGAGAGAGAGAGAGAGAGAGTTTTATATGTAAAAAAGCTTTTTATACAATAAATTCAATCCAATCTATGGTACGAAAACGAAAATAAAAATTTGAATTTGATTTGATTTGATCATTTCATGCCCTACTGGCTTTGATATCGAATCGTTTTTTTTTCTATACTCATATCTCGAAATAAAAAAAAAAGCGAGAGAGATATATTTTTGGCCATTGTTGTATTTGACTTTTGGACAACAACAACAACAACGACAACAATAACATTATCAGATAGTATAATTGTATGAAAAGAAATGAAAAACAATGGCAATAACCATAATAATAGTAATAATAATAATAACAAGAATCCGGCTTCAAGATTCTGGTTTTCCATTTATTAAGTTTTTTCACTCGATTTTTTTCTCTCTCTCTCTATGTGTGTGTGTGTGTTTTTTTCATTCTGGTTTTCCACTAAGCACTGATTTCCGTTTATATCATTGTGCTACTAGACACACACACACGCAGACATAGACATAGAGAATAAAAAATATTAGTCCGGCCAGCGCCCAAAATAAAACAGAAAGAAAGAAATTCGTCTTCCTGGTTGACATACCAATTGCGGACTCTCTGAATAGCGGGATTGATTTGGCCATATTTTTTCTCTCTCTCTCTTGCTTTCAGTCATTTCGGTATCCAACCTAAAAAAAAATTATATGAAATTCAACCAAATGGAACAAGAATAATAAAAGAAATGATGATTGAATGCTGTACTCTCTATTCCATCGTCTTTGTGGTATTAAATTTTAATTCTTTATCAATATTGATTTAATAATAACTTCTTTTTTTTTGGTGCCGTAAAACTAAATCTAATGGAAATAGCTAGAATCAGTATGTGTACAAGTTTTTTTTTGTTTTGTTTCATAAAATACCACAAGAATTTATTCCAATTTTAATGTCATGTGATTAGTATGGTTTTTTTCACAATTTTCTAAATTTTACTAATCGAATCGGTTGGTGGAAAAAAACCCTTTTTTCACTTTGTCCATAGGTATCCTGGAAATATTTAACCATGTAAATCACTGAATTTGATGATGATTGGGTTTTTTTCCACATATCTGATACATCGTCCCAATTGAATCATAGTTTCCTTTTTGTTCTTCTTCTTTTTTTTCGTTCATCATTTTCAATCATTTGTCATTATCATCATCATCATCATGATCATCATTTGTCTATAGTTTTAATTAATTTCTCATATCTCATGATAATTTATCGTGGTTTTTCTTCATCATGATTTCAATTCATCTCAATGACTAAATGAATAATATGTGGCTGATATCATCAATATATCAGTATTTAGCAGCAGCAGCCAATATACCACCATTATTTATATCTGTATAGTATTGAATCCATGCTGAAAATGAGGCAAATATTTGGTGGTAGTGGTGGTGGTGGTGGTGGGGAGAAATGAACGGCAGGCCTAAGACTTTCAGTATGAAAAAAAAAATTTTTTGGGTATCATCATCATCATCATCATCATAGTTTCCAGGCGATAGTATTAGGCGAGTTTTTTTTTCTTCGTGTGTGAATGAATGAGAAAGAGCAAAACGAAAGAGAAAGAGAGAGAGAGATAGAGAGATTGTCATTTTTCGCATGAAAGAACACAATAGTAATAATAATCGACAAGCAAGCCAGAAAACACTGAAAAAAAATGAAAGGGACCTAATAGGAAATGAATGAACGCGAAATAGACAATGACGATGATGATGATGATGATGATGATGATGATGATGGGACGAAAGAAAAAAAAGGAAACGAAACTGGTGGCAGAATAAAATATTGGTATTAATGATCATCATAACCATTTCTCGTTCATTCGTTGTCATCATCATCATCATTGCTGCTTGTAGATTGCATTATTATTATTATTGAATCCTATGGGCCAAAATTAATACTTTGGACCAAATAAAAAGAAAAAAACACGAGTGAAAAAAAAATGAAAATGTTTTTTTTTCTTCTTCTATTTTCTCCATTCATTTATTTCGTTCACCGTTTGATAATAATAATTCCATGGTAATAGGTTTATATAAAGCGCAGATATACTCACATGACAACCAAATGCAGAAATCATTGATTTAATGGATAAAAAAATTTTTTTTTGTTGTTTTGTGAAAAGAAAATTTAAACTTTTTTTTTTTTTTTGTTTTTTGTTCAAATGTTTTATGGATCATATTAATCAATTTATAATTTTATAATCGGTTTGCGCCACACAATCGCACATAGAGAGAAATTGAATTTAGTGTTTCCGGTTAGAGAAAATTATATTCACAAAGTTTGAGTTTCTCTCCATGCTTTTATTTTATAGGTAAAATACTTTCAACATATCATTTGTCATTTGGCCATGATGAAGATGATCTGGGTGTTGACGGTTTTTTTTTGTTGATTCGATTGGACGTTTGTCGTTGTCGTTGTCGTTGTCTCCGAAAGAAAATGAATGCCATTTTTTTTATTCGATGTTTTTCTTGCTATTCGAATATTATTTAGCTTTTCGTTTTCGTTAGACTAGCTCTTTTACTGAAAACCATAATTTGTGATTGATATTGTCAAGTGCACAATATTGAAAAATTCTTTGGCAAATTCGTTTTTTTTCTTCTATTTGCACATGCTGTTTTTTTTCTCTTTTGCTTTTTTTTTGAAGCTCATCATTCTGAATATATTCATGTGTAATATATGCACATTTGAGACCAAATGAATTCATTTTTGGCGTCATCGTCATCAATGAAAATGGAGAGAAAATCCAATTTTTTCGTTTAGTTTCTCATGAAAATAAAAATAAAAAAAAAACTTTGTACGTTATATAAAAAAATCAATCGAACCAACCCATATTCACACACCTCTACAGTGTGAAGAAGAATTTATTTCTTGCGTGTTTCATTCATACGAACGATGAATATTCGTGTATAGATTATTATTAATAATATCCTGTCTCTGTGTGTGTGAGTGTGTGTTTTTGTCATTTCTGAAGTAAAAATCGAATTTAAGAATTTTTGTTTTTCACTTTGGTCCACTTGGAGCCTGTATAATGTATGCGGGTATTATAACTGGAATTTTTTTTTTTTTTTTTTTGATTATTTCCATCATCATCATTGATTATACCTGGAATTTCGCATGTACACACAGGTTAAAATGTTGAAAAAAATAATTTTTTTTTCTCTCAAAATATGAATGAAAAAAAATGGAAA